ATCGTAGCGACTAATTCGAGGATATACATACAGACTATATAAATTCTGTATACACATACATAACCCATATATATATATATATCCTTGAAATATTATATAGACTATATTAGATTATATTAAACTATATTTTTAGAGATTATATAAATTATGTAGGTTGTATATAATATATAGAAATTATATAAATTATGTAGACTGTATATGTATATTCTTTATATAGTCTATATTCATATTTAAGTTTTGATGATACAATATATTATTTTAAAAATTAAATTTTTGTACATGGACTATTCATAAAATATATTTTGATTTGATTACATTTGCCAATTACTTTCGAAAATTCCTTACCTCAGCATACGTTTTCTTTCACGAATATTAGCCGCGTGTCTTTGAATTCTATAAGGACTGCCATTTGGATAATAACCTTCTTCTACGCCGTTCATCTCTGTGTCATGATCTGAACGAAAAATTTATTTTTAACAAATATTAATCAAATAACTTCATTATTACAGTTATTTGGTTTGGTAGTATTTATTACCTGGCGTTGAAACTGGCACATGATAGTGCAAAGGAGAATGTGTATGTGGCGATGTGTGCGTGATATGTTGCGTGGATCTGCCTGCATAAACACATGAAGGTAATTCTGCTAATTCTTCTTCAGTGATATCGCTATTGTGTCCCACGTAATATTGAGTACTGTAAAATTATAATCACGCGAAATTTGTTTGTGTCATTCAGATATCAATTGTATTATTTGATATTTGTTTTTGCAGAATTGTTAAAATTTTGTATTTGTAGAATTTTAAATAATATAACTGATAAAGATTTATTATACTTATATTCCCTGATACATACAAATCATATATATATATATAATAGGATAGGCTCTATCTATACATAGGATAGGGTATTATGAGCACTGCAGGTAATATGAGTACCTTTTACATTTCTATAACGATTGATATTAGTAGTGCTAACAATTGTAAAACGATGCATCTGTTTTCGCGATTTTCATTCCAATATGCTATGAAGTTTGATATAAATTTATATATTTTAGATATTTAAATTAAGTAAGCAGATACGTTATTTTTTTATTTCTTATGTTTCTTCCTTTAACTTCATAATCCCCAATTGATATTGAGATAAAATATTTTGTTCTGCATATAATAATATTTAATTAATATTTATAAAGTAAACAATATTGAGCAACTCTCTAACTTCACAAAGTCCTAAATTATTGATTTATTAGAAATGGAAGTTTTTCGGATAGGTATGCATGGTCATTTATTATGGGCATTTTCATTATTCCTTATTGTATACTGAAAAAAAAGTCTGGCGAGAGATCAACCACTATGGCAATCAGTGTACATTTCTTTAAAAATATATTATACAGTAATAAAACAGATAATGCTAGCAATAGCATCCAAATAGCAATGACGTCCTCAAAACGTCCTCAGGCCATCCAGGGCAGATAGTAAGGACGTTCTCAGAATGTCTTATTTCCATCTGGGATGTCCTGAGGATATCCCGTGAAACCTTAAATGAGCACCTCAATGTATCCTCAGGAAGTCCCGACGGCGTGATGATCCCGAGGGCTTCCTCTAGAGATCTCGAGGATATATTCAGGACCACAAGATCAGGTAGAAAAAAATAATTTAATTAAAAATAATTTTTTTGTTATTACTTTTTATTTTTGAGGTTCAATTAATATTTTTACTGTTTCGTATATTTATATTCTGTCTTATTCATTAGAATTATTAAAAAACGTATCGCATCGCCAGTAAGATTTGAACGATCTCTAGAACGGTAGCCTAATACATTTACGCTGAACTAATTGCATGTTTGTGATGATGTTTGCCAACGTTATACCTCCTACAATAATTATTCTTAATTTCATGCTTCTGCAGACAGTTTAATATTATTAATATTTGAGGAGATTACATGGAAACGAAATAATACGCTGGTATTTATAAACTTAAAATTAATTAGGAAATAACAATGACAAAGTGAATGTCCTCAGTTTCGAGAGATCGTCCGACTGTGGCGGATGTGTATTTAGTCTCGATCTGAGTGTTGCATGTTTCATTTTTGAGCATAAGTACTCTCTCACAGTGACTTTCACACACACACACACACACACACACACACAAAAAACACACACACACACACATACCACACTCACTCACTCACTCATTCACATATACAAAAGATTGAACATCCAAGATATGTTCCCATGTTGTTTTGAGACTATTCTAGAAAATCCTGAAGATAACATCGGCTGTCCACAGAACGTTTTAAGGTTATCTTCAAGATGTCCTCAGGATATTCCTGCACTATCTTAGAAAGTCCTGAAGATGACGTGAATCCGTCCCAGAACGATGGATGCTCTGAAACTGCTCTAAAAGTCCTGAAAATGACATCAGGCTATTCCCAGAACGTCTTAATCCTCAGTACACAACTCTGGCAGTTCCTATCTACTCCCATCTGAGATATTTGTAACCCAGCGTTTTCTTTTGCTTCTTTCTCAGATTATGGTGCATCGATTTTAACTAATTTATTTTAATCCATCCTTTGAAGATGGAAAAAAAGAATTTTTAGAAAGTCTAAAATGTCATAGCATAAAAGATATTTTACAATAAGTGAAAAAGGATCAGAAAAAAACGTAAAAAAACGAATTTTTTTCAAAACCTCATCTTTTCAAAATCTCATCTGTCAAAAATAAATGGAAAAAGATTTTATTAATGATAAATCAACAGCTAATGAGTTGAACTTTAAGAAACTTTAAGAAACTACAAGCGTTTTTGCGATTTGTTCTAGAAACGATATTTTTTTTTGCAAAGTGAAAATGAGTGATTTTTTAGTTTTATGGAAATTGATCATAAACCGAAAATCTTCGAATTTTAGATAGAAATAAATTTTATGTAGAAATAAATAAAAAAAAGTGATTCTATCATTCTTCTATGAAAAATATTTACTTAATAATTATAAATATTAATATTAATATTTCTTATAGAGAAAAAGATTATAATTTTGCAACAATATATAAGATGTATATATATATATATATAAGATATTATAGTATCATGAATGTGTATACTTGTTTCTAGACATTTATATAAAAAATCAACAATTTAATGATATCAAATTTCAACTAGATACTAATATAATGATATCTGACTATTCGGTCGGATAGTAAAAAAGTCTGATAATATCGAATACTTATTTTCCTGATCTGGTGCATCCTTTACTACAATGGATATTGGCCGTATCGTGGCGCATTTGCCGCGGGAGTCCTTATTGAGGAAGAGAAAGAAGTTTTTTTTTGATATCAAGAATATAATAAAATTGACTTAAATCATTTTTTTATGATGTACACTCATGATTAAAATTATAAATAATCCAATTAATAATTTCTACATTTCAACTTTAGCAGTAAGCTAAATTTTTTGACATTATACACAGAGGTTAAGGTAATCACAACATGCACTTTACACCATACAATTATACCTAATTACCTAAATGGGGCGCATTAGAAGGCGCATTGCCAAGCAAGGAAACTGTAGAGGTGATACATAAGTTTCCTTCTCTCCCCAGTCTCGCCACCACTGCTCAAAGCATTCGAATGTCAGAAATATGAAAATCAAGTGGAGTTACACTAATCCTTTGTGTGTACTGAGGGTTAAAAGTATCCTTAAGATGTCATAAAGATAAAGCTGTCCCCAAGATGTTCTGAAACTAAAAAATCTTGAAAATGACATTTTGAAGCTGTTCCCAAAATGAGAATGCGCTCAAGTTAGCCTAAAAATGTCCTGAAGATGATGTTCTGAAGATGCCTCCTGGATATATAAATGTCTTCAAAATGTCTCAGAACGTCCTGGGATATAATCAGAATGATCTTGAGGACGTCTTGTGCTGTCTAGGTAGTAATACATTAGTAATATGCTAATAATAAATACATATAGTAGTACGTAACAATACATTAACAATATTTGATGGCATATATAAATTAACAATATTAACAATATAATGCTAGCAATAAAGTGTGTAGTATTGCCATAATTAGCAACTCACTGTATGTAATTAGTGTACATTTTTTAGCAGTGGTTGACCCTCTCGGAGTGTGGTAATAATTATTAAATGTACGGTGAAATAATGCCAATCAAATATTTCTTTAATATAACAAAAAATAAAGTTACTTTTACAAATATTTAAAAAATACTATCAAACTGTTACCACTTGGTAATACTTACTAAATATTTGTAAATGTATCATTATTTTTTAGTTATATTAACCAAACATTTGATTAGCATTTGTTCTGATAAAAGATTTTGTGTGCGTGTGTGTGTGTGTGTGTGTGTGTGTGTGTGTGTGTGTCTGTGTGTGTGTGTACACGATGTACCAGAGTTAGCGCAGGGGCCGTACATATTCCTCATGAAAAAGTAAATCGAAAATGTTAATAGCAAAATCTTAAGGTAATAGTTCTCAAACGGTGAGTACTTGAAAATAACCACAGAAAATTCGCATCGTCAGGAGCGGCGCAACTATGCGGTCGGATGCGCGAATGCTTTGACGGATATATCGCTCAAGCACCGAACGAGTATTGCAAAATTTCATGAAATTTCTATATTAACTATATTTCTATATTAACTGCCGTATTCTTAAATTGAGTTCGATTTAATTGATGAGAAGTAATATCAATTGCAAATTCGATAAATAAATAAATTTATAAATAAAATCAATATTAATTACATGATCCACGCAAATAACGTTAAAAATGTGTCAATTGACAGATATTTACAAAACTTTTTTTCTGTTACAAGTAACATTAGAAAAAAAATTATATTTGAAATACGCATTTGATATAAATAAATATAAATAAATAAATAAATAAATATAAATATTTCATATTTAGAAAATGAAACGAACAAAATTCCGAATTATGATTGGAGAGAAAGAGGAAATAATATAGTGAAGAAATCGATTAGTTATTTTCAAATGTTCATCGTTTGAAAACTATTAATGCCTTAAGATTTTGCTATTAACATGTTCGATTTATTTTTATGAGGAATATATATATATGCCGGTTTTGCGCTAACTTAATATACCTTGTATATATACA